CATTGGCGGCAGCCATTAAATAATAACTTCATGTTATTTGCAAGCATCGCGTGTCAGGGGTTCGCCTAGTGCTAGTATAGTAACCGACAGCAATTAGTAGCCGAAGTGCTCGTACTAGTACTAGTACTAACTAGTACTCGTACTAGTAACTAGTAGCGACAGTGGCGTAACTTATGAGTGGCGGCGGTGGTGATTGTTGCCGCTGTTTACGCTGCTACGCTTGCAAAGGTATAGTCATCCTGTTGTTGCTTCTGGCAGCACCCAATACCCAGCAACCGCACCAGGAACAGCAGTAAACAGTAGCTTCTGCAACAGAACCCCACGTCACGGCCACAATCACAAAAAAAAGCTGTTAGTCGTAATCGACAAGCCATTCTTGCCGAGCAGCCGGTGAGCGCCTGCGCCCTGGCCCGGGGCGGCGGTGAGCAAGGCGCTGGCTGAAGATCCTGAGGCATCTATCCCAAGAAAGAAGTCAGGAACCGGCAATGATGAGACTCGTATGACTAGTCTGCTACGAGTATGCGCGACTGCATCGCGAAGAAGTAGACTAACTACAATTACGCTGGCCATTTGCGGAGAGCATGCGGGGTGCTCCGAAGCCTTCGAGGTGCCTAGTGCACCTTTCAGTGCAGTAGTAGAAGTGGCACTGACCACAATCGAACATCGGTACATATCTTGGCGCAACAGGACAGCTAAGTCAGCTAAGTACTAGTATATGTACTGGAGTCGATGGACACGGGCAAAACCCAGATTGCACAGGCTTCGACAAGTAGCGAATCCCGCGCCGCATCTAGACATGGTGTTCACAAATCCATGAACCCGCCGGAGCAAAAGCCATAAAAGCCCCAAATCTGCTCGTGGGATGAGCCTGTATGTATTTTCTTGACTATCGTTGCCTATCTCTACATGCGGGTGAACGGATTCAGTCTAGCTAATGTATGTGCTGCTGACATCCGGTCGAAAACCAGGTCTAGGACAAGCACGTCACTAGGACTAGGTCATTAGGCAAGTGCTCGCAGAATCTTGGAATGAAACATTGCACTCTCACAACTCGGACAAGCCAGGCGAGGATCCATATGTTCGCAGTCGGCGTGAAAACAAGATGAGTTTCGATTTTCGATGCCACATTAAGATGGACATTGCCAAGATCTCTCCGAAACTGTGATCTAGAAGGCATGCCAAGTTGTTTCACTTGGTTTCGGGCCCGGGCGAAAGCGGGCTTGAGCAGAGGCTGCACGAACCAAAAGGGCATTCGGTGGTTCTGTCTCATTAGAAAGGTCTCGTCTTGTCCCTTTCCTTGACTCTCCTGCAACATAGCAAGTGCTGACCTTACCAATCTAAATCCGGGTAGAGATTTCTCTCCAATAACAGACCAGTGTCTGGAGGCTCAGTGCCTCCTCATGCAGCACAGATCGACAGAAGCTGCTGTCGTCGGTCAGCGCATGGGTCCTTAGCATGGAAGTACATTCTAGATTCTGCAGACAGACGCATGCCAACTCGCCACAACCCTCCCTGAAATATCTTCCACTTCGCCAGTTACTACAAACCGTTTCACCAAGGGTCTGCACGCTGTCACACTCCATGACGACATGGGCGCGGCCAAATTGTCCCGAGAAGGCGCTGCCTGCAGACTGCTGCACGAAACAGCTGATCGTCCCACACACTGCGAGCGGAGTCGAACTGCGGGAACTATTCATGCCCAGTCGCACCAGCGTTTCAAAGAACGCACCGTCCGGAAGGCATGCAAGTCGAATGTGCCTGCAAACCTCAGGTTGGCGTGGGCATGACGTGATTGTGTCGGCCGGGGATCCTGGACACACAGGCCGGGGGGTTGCTGAGCGCCTTGCCACTGGCTGAAAGCTGCGAGCGCCTTGAACTCATCCGAAGCGACAGTTGCATTCTTCCAGAAGGCCCGGTCCACAACCCAGACCTGGTCAATGGGAAACCTGCCGGCTTGTGGAATCTGGCAACCAACAGTAACCCACACCTACCTACAGGTGCATCTTCGGAGATCGCCTCCCATGCCGCCCATGTGCAATTTGCTAACAACAGCTTACACCTGCTCCACGTACTATGTTACTATGCCAATTTTCACCGCAGCCTTGCACTCGTGGCAAGGCGATCCAGCAGCTCCCAATCGAAGTAAAGACAGCCACATCCCAACGTGCAGTACCTGAAATCTCGATGGTTGGCAGTTGGGTCGGCGAGTGTGCCTGCTTTAGTCTGCTGAAGTGCCTTCTGTCAAGCCACACCAGCCCTTCATCATGGCGCGACTTGACTTGCCAGAAATGCTCCTCGATCTGTTCGGCACAGAAGTTCACAAAGTCTGACCGCACGCCTTCGCAGCCGGCGCGGAAACGATAGAGAGCACCTGAGATGCAGCAATCTGCTCGGCTACCGGTGAAGTCGTCAGTGGTCCACAGCGGATGACAGCTCTCAGTCTGGAACAAGCGGTATCACCACACTCGCCGAGCTCGCACAGAGGATTCCGTGAACCTAGTAAGGGCAGCTGAGCGCACCAGCATTGATCCAACTCCCGTTTAGGAAAATAGCGCCATCGTGAGGGCCAGGGACCTTTCATTAGTCATGTACATCTGAACACAGACACAAACACGGCTTCAATGACAGCCCTGATTGGTTGGCCCTTCCTCACTGTCTTCTGTACTTGCATTTGCCGGGCGGATGGCTCTCAGCAGGATTGCGACTCAACAGACTCGGACAAGCGCGCCTCGCCCAAGTGATGGCGGAGGTCTCACGTACCAGCCTCGCCTGCTCAGGTTCCAATAGTGCTGCTCCTGCAGAGGGAGATGATGGGGATGCACTGGGTTGTTGGCAACAAGCCATCACGAGGCAGCGCAGCAACAACCAGCTCTCGCACTCTTCATTCTCCTGTGCCCACCGAACACGCTGCCGTCTCCTCTTCGAGAGGGCTGTGGCCTCGTATTAGCCCCGCGAGCTGCAATTGCTCGGCAAGAGGTGAGGTCTGGTGGCCTCCACGCGGTGCTCTGCTCCGGCCAAGCGCAGACGCAGCACATCCCCAGAACCGGAGCGCGGGAGGTCCAAAGCCTGGAGCCTCTCACGCAATGACCGGACCTGACGTCGAACGGAGCTGTACAACAGCACAGCGTTGACGGGTTAAGAAGGTTTACGAGGTATGAACGGTTTGGGAGTGTCTGGGACTCTTTAGGGGGGGGGGGGGCTTCGGGTGTAGGTGGGTGATGCAACTTGTCAACTTGTGATCACGGGTTCTGCCCTTAGCTTACAACATAGCGGTCGCAACTTCTCAGCACATAAAGCCGAGCTGACAAGCCACATTCAAGCCCTGGAACTTCACTTCCTCGTTCAGCACTGGCCGCCTGCCGAGGACTTTGCTTCAGCGCTAAGGATCCATCGGCTGCGAGACTTGATGGAGAGATGTCGGCTGCCTGCCTCGGCACGGCAAAGCCCCAGCTCGTGGCGAAGAGGCGGTTAGCCGTCAAAGTTGCGAGGCCCACGTATGCCACAGATCTGGTCGATGCAAGAAGAGCAGTCACTTTCACCATGAAGTTGACGGCTTCGTGATGTTCATGCTAAACCTGACGAGTCCGCGGTGGTGCTCCATGCTGCACCGGCCATACCATTCTACACTGTTACACTGCAGACGAAAACCACTCCAGATGCTTGGATCTCATAACTTCGGCGTTGTGCTTTTGAGATTAAGGCTCGCCACCCGGGAATACCAGGTGAAGGCGATGCTTCGTCATTGAAGGGCTTGCGCATACCAATATGGCTCTGGTTATCGGTTATAGCATGCAGTCTCGGCCAAGCGGGCATCTGCTCTTAGATGCCACCCCATCGATCATTGCTACTGCGAACAAGTCGTTTTAGAGATAGCGCGCTTCTGTTCATCGATCAGGGCATGTTGTTGACTGTGGTGGGAGCCACATCCCTCAATCATGGAATTCAAACTACGGCGGGAGCTGTTGAGAAACTCGGTCGCCAATGAATCATGTAGGCTGTCAGGGGATTCAACACGGTCTGGATGACATCGAATGCAGCTTGCTGCGTCCCATCTTTCCAGCGCGTGACACCTTCGAAGCAGTTGCTGAGGCAGCTCAGCAAATTTTCGGCTGCTGCCAGCTCTTCAAAGATGTGCCACCACCTGCGCCACATGCAAGGTCTTGCGACTCGAGCACGAGAACAACAGGCACAACCCTTCCAAGCGAGCCTCTCGTTTACGAACTCGTCAAGGTCAGTGGAGAAAGCTTCCAGGTCAGGCACGATGCCTTCAATAAAGGCTTGGTTTGGGAGCGCTCTCGTTCAGGATGCAACTCGTGCTCTCACTTCTGAGGATGGTCTCCGATGATCTCTTGTTAGTACCGTGCAAGCTGGCACCAGCCCCAGACCTCCTGTGTTGACTGTAGCGTATGCAGATTTGCCGAGAAGCCCTCCCGGATTCGTGGGATGCACTGAACAAGAACGTCATCGCGATCTTCCGCCGGAAAGAGTGCCAGCCAAAGAGCATGATGGATGACCAGCACCTGCAAGGGAACACTGAGCGATTCGGCATGGATAAGTGCTTACAGACACGTAATCGCTTGCCTACTACGAGTACTTTCCCCGCCCCCTGTTTTTTGCAAAAAACGACTTGATACCAGAGGCCCGTATTTATAATTCATAATGTGCCGGTTCCTGTAGTTCTCTCTGAGCTCTTGATTTAGCAGTCCGCAGTCCTACGTTCCTTTGGCTCTTTGCAGCCTGCAGACCCTGCAGCCCACATTTCCTTGGCTTTTGCAACCTGCAGGTCCCCTGCAGTCCTGCATTCATGGAGCAGTGCCATTCGCAGCCTAATGTCCCCGATAATGTTATGCAATACAGGGGACCGAGGAGGAGGAGATTACAGATATCGCCTGCCGCCGGGAGCCGTCCGTGTCGAGCAGTAATAACAAGCAGAAAAATCGATACTTGCTGGTCTGCGAGACATGCTTCAACAGAGTTCATGGGTTCTCGATGCAAGCGTGCGAAGGTTCGAAGTTGACCAGTACATGAGGTGCGATCTGTTGCTGGACTGTCCATGGCACAATCTATTTGACATCCTTCTCTTTGCAAGCTTGATAGCTCACACGGCTTTGCAACTCTAATGAGCAAGGCGAGGACGGCCATGCGACTCCGCATGTTGTTGCGACGGGAACGACAATAGAATACTTAAGAAGTAAATGGCTTTATCCCCATGGCGCCGTGCTTGGTGTACCACGCTTGTATGGCAGGGCGTTGAAGCCTCGGCTCAGCGGCTCAAAAAGCTATTGGCAGGGCGTTAGGGAGCACACGATAAGGGCACTTCAGAGACAAACAACACCATCAACGCAACCTCAAGCCGGGGCTCGCATGAATCATGAACGATTTCATAATCGAAGCCATTGGGCTGGCTTGTGCTTAGACGGACGCGCGAAGCATCCCATGTTCTTGCAAGGTCAGATCCAAACGAATTATCCAAGATCCTCACTCAGCCAAGCAAGGCTGGCAATGCTGCGTTGTAACTCCTGCAAGAACGCAACTGCATTGTAGTACTGCTGCCGGCTCAAGGAGGCCCGGGTGACCAGCACAAAGGACTACATGACATCTGCAGTCTGCAATTCGCACCGTCGGCTACCACCTGAATTGCCGCTAACCGAGATGCTGGTTCGCCTATAGACGTGAGACTTAAACATAATAGCACAACCTCAATACCTTTGGCCAGCTCCGCTCCAACCAGGCCAAGGAGGTCGCGGCTGGAGGCTGACCAGAGAACTTCGGGAACTCGCAGTGCTGGTCCTGGGAGTGTGCAATTCAAGCTCCGTAGACGCTTCCACGCAGAGACTGCGATGCGGTCGAAAGAACTCCAGCTTGCAGCGCCCCTACAGTAGATTCTAGATATGAGCGAGACACGCAGGTCTGCAGCAGTGCTGTCTGCGCACGTAAGACACTGACATTTGATCCCAGAAAACAACACGCCAAGGCGCCAAGGACGCTGCAGCAAGCCGGTACTCGTGAAGCTCCACCTGCACAGTGAGCAACAAGAACAAGGCCTTAAGATCCTCAGTTGACGGATTGAGGTGATGCATCCCGAGCGGAATCAGTGGGTGGTCATTCTTGCGATCCCCGGGGTGTTGGTGGGTGCGGTGCTTTCGCAAGGGTGCGAATATCTTCATTTGTTGGGCGGTGTCCACGATGGGTTTTCTGATCCCGGAGCCTCCACCGGCCGGCGTACTCGACCGCGTGTTCAGTGCGCTGTTGTTGTCGATATTTGTCGATTCAACCTGACGTGGTTAGCATCGCCTGTGAGCACTTCCTGCTCAGATGCCCGTGCTGATGGTTCTGGCTGTCTGCTCAAGACCCATGCTGGCCGATGTAGATCAAGCCTGGGCACCATAGAGGATGTGCAGCAAGTCAATCCAGAGAGCACAATCGGCACCTGCGTCATGCGCTGGACGGCTATCTCAGTGGCCAGAACGGATGCATGGAGGATGACGCCCCACATCCTTCCAAACAGACTTTCACTTGCACGCACAACCAGCTGGAGCTCAAAGAAGGCCGGACTTGTACAGTACCGGATACACCTGCTGCGTTTTGCACGATCCCTGTCAACATGCTCACGAATCGCAACCAGCCTGCATATATGCATGTCGGCCTGCCTGTCAAAATGAGGAGCAGATTCTTGGCCGTACCACGAAAAGCAGTCCTCCAGGCAATCAAGCAAGTGGTGTTGGAATTACAAATACCTAGTTCTTACTGCAAACTAGCATGACCTATTTGTGAATGGTGCGGATGTCTGAGATGGACATAGACGAATCATGATGGACATCCAGTGCGGCCAGCCAGTGCGCAGACCCTGCATCATGCACCTGCCACATAGCTCGTTCTAGCAACGATACTCCGTGCGACTCAAGCCGGCAGCCGGTCCCAACCCCGAAGCAATCCATCCAGGGCCGATCTTGCCGTGCGTGTCAACACGACAAGACAGTCGTCGCCCACATAAACTCCCGCAAGCCTGCATCGGGTCATTCATGGTTCCGCCGTCGCACACTTCCGACCAGTCTTAAATTCAAACACAAACCGAGACTTTGCAACACTTTGGCGATTTCTTCGCAGAGGCCAAGACTTCAGGGCATCTTGCAGCAAATATGCGCTCGGCAGTGCTACGCTCACGACTCACTCGCCTTTCCTTGACGGTGTCGTTGTGCTCTGGATTGGCCATGTTGATGCCAAGCGAGTCAATCACACGCCTGCGAAGAAAAAACATATTGGGCAAAGACGGATATATCGAACGGCGACCGAGCCTGCACATGTCTGCGTCGACTCGCAAAGAAGTGACCGTAGCGGCGCAGTGCCTGTGCGGTCTGAGGGTGTGCAGATCGACCCGTGGACATGGCTGCGTGACTTCGAAATACGGTATTACTAAGCCTTTGCTGCAAGTCAAGTCCTGCAAAAGGGCTGTTCTCTCAAATCCCGAGATGAAGAAGACAAGTTAATGACATAGCCAGCAGAGGGTGGGTTTTTAGCCGTTGACTTCGGAGGTCCGTGAAGGCAACTCCCATGATGCCCCCAATTCACATGCTACTTAAGCAGCAGGCGTGTCGAATACGTCTCATGGCCGTCCTACCACTTCAATCAGCAGACTCACGCCATATGCTGGGAAGGGCTCTTTGTGCGAGGGCCCGCCGAAGGCTCCACAAAACGTCGCGCAGGCAGGAAGCGGCCGTACCGACGCAAAGGCGACACCGAAGTGCCTGAGGCGATAAGAGGCTGCGGTCGAAGTTCCCACGAGCTGCGGGCTCCCGGCGCGGGGTATACTGTACGTCTATAAGCGTTACAAGAATCCTTGGGAAACATTTCTCGTACCATATCTGATTGATTAACCGAGAATTATGTGAAGGTTGCTTTGATGCTGTTGGTACAGACGCCCCTTAAATGTGGAAATACTGTCCGGTGCTAAGTGTATCTGCACTCAGCCCCAGTCTTGTTGAGCTGGTCCACCGCATGCTTCTACGAGTTGCTAACGTTAGAGCCGAGTCTGTCCCAGTCAAGCCGAGAAACCCACCTCCGCGTCCTCAAGAAACAGCTTCGAGTGGTACAAATGGTGAATGTCGCAAGCTTAACTGCAAATCGGCGGTGTGCAGGCACGTGCAAAGTCTGCTGATACAAATGCCGGCGCTATCCTGGAAGACGCGGCGAATTCCGAACTTGGGGTGGTCTTCAGGGGCAGAACCGCTCCTTGTGGACAGCGGCATGCGACCGGGGCTGACACATGCTAAGCAGGAAAATGTCGAGCTTTTGACGACATGCGACAGTCAAACCGCGAAGCCCACTGCTACAGCACCCTTCCAGCCTGCGATCACTCCGGAGCTCTAAAGGGGTTATGAAAACATCGCGAAGAGCTACCTCGTTTATCCCGAAACCTGTGCATAGCGCAAACTCATCGGCAGAGTCCTCAAGAATCCGATCAGAACACCTGCCTCTAGCTTATGCAACCTCAAGATCGGCCAAGGTTCCGCAGCTCCCCTGCACGATCCAAAAGCTCCGACATTGTCAGAGTCTGGTGGCCGAGCATCTCGGCCAGATTCAGCGCGGCCGTAGCCATGCGCTCTCCAAACTTCACCTGCGAAGACCCCCACTAGAGAAGAATTAAAAAGGATGCTCCAGACATGTCCTTCATACTCTGCTCATCCTGCAATTGCTACGTGGGTGATGCCTCAAGGCTGGTCTCATTCCACCCGTGCCTGGCTGGCCACCTGAGCGTCTCTTTGGTGAATCGTGGGCGTCCGCACCAGGAACCGTGACCACCTTTAGCTAGGCAAGTTTCAGACCGACTGCCACTGGCATCACCTCCCTATGCTTCTCTTGAGCTGCTGGCGGCTGGTCCTTCCCGCGCGAAGCCAAAGAGCGAAGGTGGCTGGTGTGAATACTGGGATCGTTCACAAAGCCACCGTCTGCAAAGAGTCGATCCTATGAGTCGGAACATGTCGGCATTTCAAAAACCGAATCCGCTCATTGTTTATGGCCCTATAGCTGATCAAGTCGGCTTTGCAAGATGGCGACCCTGACTGTTCTCAGAATGCCGGGTTGTGCCAAACCAGCTTGAGGCCTACTGCTGCCCAGAAGCGCTAGCTCCAGTGTCTCCAGTAAGCGCTTTGGCCTCAGGAAATCCTGTTGCAAATAGCCGACGTATGTGATCTCCTTGGTTTCATGGAACAAAGCACCACTCTTAGATCCACATGCCAAGACTTTCAGAGTATTGCCATCGATCGACGTTTGCCAGTCCTTCTGTTGGTCCAAGTTACTGTGCAATGATGCGCAATCGCAAGCTTCGTCCTCCTGGTTTGGGCAGGACTCCCATCGGAAACCAAACTCACACATTGGTGCAAGAAGCTGGCAAAGCTGGAACAAGCCTCCCAAGCCGTCCACCCACACATGGGGCTCCAACCCACTACCAGCTTCCTTGGTGGGAAACACGGAGAACGTGGCACCAATGCTTACATGTCTTCCTCGTTTTCAACTCTCGCGGTTCGGACACCAGAGCGAGGCAAACGGCCTGGCCCAACGGTGTCAATACTGAGTCAACACATGTCAATTCAAAACACGATGCTCCGAGCGACTGCCCCTGCGTGTGCCACCAGTCGCAAATGACTCGTTGCACAACCGCCGCTGCAAACTGTGCGAAGCCTGGCGCTCCAGAGAAACGTTCGGGGCACGCCTCGAGGTCCAAACCAAGCCTATGTGCAATTGAGGAAGGCCGATCGATCTCCTCTAAAGTTTTCGCTTACGCTCCCTTACATACATTCCAAGACAAACCCCGGTGACGCAAACCCTCGCTTGGTTTGAAAGTAACTTTGAAGCAATTTCCGGAGAGGAAACCAAACAAAATGTCTTTCGGTTTCAAGTCAATGCCTCGATATGCCAGAGGAATGCCATCCATGGCTGCCACGATGGAACGCCACCAAGGTGACAAGCTTTTTGGGCTGTTCGTCAGGAGTCCATCTTTGGGACCTGACAAGCGACTCAAAGTTTCATTCAACTAGTTTGGGCCTGGGGGGCCGGCTTGGAGGAACCCCCTTTGAGCTTCTCACATCCTTGATCTGCTCTGCTTGCTGCCCAGGGTGCCCAGCTTGCTCCAAGTTTCACAGATTTGCAGCAGAAGTCGCAAATCCACCTCGCAGGCCAAGGTGGAGAGGAGGAATGGAGGTGAACGTGTGGATTCCAGGCCTCATCAGCAGCATCAGGCGAGGAGAACTTGAAGAACAGAATCCGCTGCCAATTACCTGGCAGCAGATTCCAATTTCAATTGGGCGAGGAAGAAGATTCTCATAAGGTTCCACCAATGATGCACAAGAACAAGACGAAGACTTCGAATTATTATATTCTTCATGTTTCCTGGATGCAGCTCGTGCGCATGCAGGCGTCAGCCATCGAGCCGAAGGAATGCCGGCCGACCGTTCAACGAAGCCCGGCCTGAAGCAGACTCTCTAAGCAATCGAAATGCACGGCTCACTTAGAATCTGGTGATGTTGTGTAGAGGTTGCCACCACCGGCAGGAGTTGCCATCGTCGCTCTTGCAAGACATCAAACTCCGCCTTACTGGAGTTTGTAGCGTTAGCCGTGCCACCCGCCTGAGCACCTGCTCGCAGCACAGCTTGGCATCGCCAATGCCCTCAGATGGAAGCACTGGGGCGAGTAGGAGCGAGGAAGCGAAGGGGAGGGGAGAGGAGGGGACAGGCGGAAGGGAGGGAGGACAAATACAAGGGCTGGCAGAACAAACAGTGTGAAACACAGCTTTGCCGCAGGAGTTTTCCATTCAGGAATGTTCGAATCTCAAGTGAGTGAAACGATGCCGCGGCAGCGAGAAGCCGAGTCTCGACAAATTCTGGAGCAGCTTCTTCGCCGAGACCCCCTGCGACCGAGACACACAGAAACGCAAACGGAGTTCCAAAGCTGCTGAGGCTGCTGAATGTTTTCCGTTTTCTCGTGCCTTCGGCAGCGACCGCGGCAGCCACCGTAATCAGGCTCCATGCTCTTGACATTAACAGACGGTTACAGTCTGCCTCCGGCTGAGAGCTATCTCATGCAGCTGGAACATTATCTAGACGACTACCTACCATGCTTGGGCGCACAAGCTCAGGAGCCCGGCACAAGCAGGGTTGCAACAAGAGGGGTGGTAGATCTCGCATCAACACCCCCATATGGATCAAAGTCTTGTCGAGCTGGTTGACGCCGATTTTTTGCCTCTCGCTGGAGTCGCTGTTAGTCAGTACTTGCTGGCGGCGGTCGCATCATCTGGGTGGGTGCACGGCTTGTTCACGACGAAATAGAACCTGGATGCTGCAAGCATGAAATGCAATATCATCTGGTTATCGGGCGCACATGCTTCCCCCTACTAGAACCAACCGAGAGGCGCTGGCATCAGCACTTGAAGCAGCCTCAAAATCCAAACCTTGGCTTGGCCAATAGGAAACCGAACAGAAGGAACACATCGCAGTTGTTCGCATGTGTTTGCCGAACACTTCCTTTCTGCAGTGTAAGATTGAGTTGGACTCCTTGAAACTGAACTGCAGAGCCAGGTCACCAGGAGCTGCCAGAGGCTCGCCTTGCGCGAGGCATGTGGTTCCCGTCTGAGATCGAGGGGTTGTGTGTCGTGTTCTGAACGTGTCCTGCCTGGATGGAGGAATTCGCACTTGGAAGCTGGTAGATGCTGCCGTCCTGATAGCCGAGCAGGGGTGTGGCCAGCATAGCACTTTCCTGATGCTCCCACATCGGTCCTTCGTGAATCGCATGCACACCTTCAACTGCTCTAGGGACGGAACACCTCAGGCCACAGGACCCAGGAGACAAGGGCGTGTGCTCGGTGCGGCAGCATTAGTGCCGATAGACCTAGTGACAAGAGATGGCGGCACGTCTCAGTTTCGCTGAGGTGCCATGACCATTCCGATTGGCGGCCTCAAGGCGTGAAGTTTATTTGCTATCCCGCTTATCCTGTTCTCAGGTTGACAAGCTGGAAGAAGTTGCAAGCTGCTAGCCAGATGCCCCATCAATCGCTACTAGTACGAAGCAGACCGGACAACACACCTACCTGCACCTAGAATGGCGTGGTTCGACTTGTCTAGAAGCAGCTGACCGCGCTCCGTGTGATGTGACATCCCAGCGTCGACAACATTAAAAGCCTATAAACATCACTCTCGTCTCACGGATTTGGAGCGGCTGTCTGATTTTGCGCGGGCTCACCGATCGACACTTCCCTCAAGGTGCATGTACGGCCGAGAAACCAAGAGTGGCGTCCTCAGGTGGGTTGACAAGACGGCCACAGTCCAAGCAACCCGTGGCACGGTTCTCCAGAAGGCAGCTGTCCGCACATTGACATGTTGAGAAACTTCGCACGCTGTGGCGATTCACGACCCTTTGCTCCTCTTGCTGCAGTCGGGGCTCTGTTCGAAGGGGGCCACTCGGGTCTCTGCATTCTGAGCTGCCCTCGCAGACTGAAGCCTGACTACTTCAGGTGATAATCACAAGTCACGAGACTGATCAGAAGAGCTGCAGCAGGAACAGAATTAGCAACAACAGCACCTGTCGTCGTGCACCAGTCGCGGCACAGCACTGCTTGTGGCACGTCACCACAACTATTTCCAAGAGCTTCTATTGAAGCTCTGGCAAAACCGTCAAGCGAAGCCTTGATGGAGGGAAGAAGCGACAGAACCTAACTGTTCGAGCAGGGCTCTTGGACTGTTCCGCTCCAGTCCTGCGAGTAGAAACCCCAATTCTGACGTACGCTGATTACGGCTTCGGAGCTCTACGTAAAATGTTGGGGCACTTTATGGAGCCGCACATCCCGCCGAATCATCCCATTCAGTTCGATGGCAGATCGGAAACGCCCTGGCCAACCCGATTGAAACCAGATATCTAGATTCTAGATAACTCCAACTTGCGTCACAGACCTGCACGCTCCAGTCTTTGTCAACCTTGCTCCACGTTAGGCGTGCAGGCGGCGGTCGATGCCTCGACACGCAAATGCTCCATGCCATGCGTGGCGATGAAGCCTTCCAGATATTGGAGCTTGGCACTTCGAGTCAGCTCCTGGAACTCTGTAAGGGGCAGTGTAAGAACTTTCCAGCCCTCGGCCCGCAAGTGTAAGTGCTTCCGCAGCACGAATTCCTGGTGCCTTCTTCGTCTCCATGGCGGATACAACAGCCATCCCTGGTCCCACTCAACAACGACCAAGCCGAGTGGATCCGTCAGCTCCAACAGGTATGGTCCGCAGATGCTGGGATGCAGAAGGACCCCAAGCTTGTGGAAGAGCTTTGAAAGTTCGCTGTAAACGTGCGGAAGCTCAAGCATCTGGTAGTCATCGGGTGGTCTCAGCTGCATTTCTCTGACCGTAGACAAGAGTTGCACTGCCACCGGGGTCAAGGACTGCATAATGCCAGGTCTCTCGTGCCTAAGCACGAACTCCACCAACTTCAGCCCTTCCAGGTTCCTGGCTGCTGTCGTCGAGTTTGCGGGGCCAAGAGCATAGCTACGTGGTCGCTTGCGTGGTGCTTCTTCGGCTTGCTCGTCAGGGGCCACCACACTCGCTGAGCGAGTCGTGGCGCGAGTTCGCGGTGTGCTGCCAGCTTCCACAGGTAGCCTCAACCGTGCGAGGCGGTCCAGCCAACGTGTGAGCACGGACGTCTTCATCAAATCATGCAGAAACATTGGCAAGCCCATGAGGAGGATAAGCTCAGGGTTGTTGAATCGGACATGCTTCAGCTTCAACTGATATATAGTGTTCAGCTTCTGCACTGTGCCAGAGCGCTCATGGTACTTCGTGTCTACGACCATGTGAACAAAGCGACCCATGCACTCAGCATCCAGGTTCTTCAGGCCAGTCTTCATGATCTGTCCTACCAAGACAGTTTTGAATTCAGGTCCAGCTTCAGGTAAGGACCCGATTGCTTCAAGGATGCGGACCTTCCGCCAGGCTCGTAAAGTTCGGTCTCGCTCGACGATTTCACTAGTCGCAAAATCCATGAAGCGAGTCTGCTTCAAACCACGCTTGGCAGCGAGCTTTCCGTATGCATACACCACACGCATTAAACGTTCATCACTGTACTCCTTCGCACGGAGAGCAAAGACCTTCAAGAGTTTCTGAAGCATGGGCATGTCGATAGGAACATTGGCTGGAGCATAAGCCAAAGCTTGAAGTAGCCGGCAAAGCTCCGACGGAGATAGCTCCTTCTCGCCTCCAAGGTTCAGGATAAAATTTGGCACATCTTGCCAAAGCCGAGCTTCAGGAGACAACCCAATCGTGGCAGCACGTCCGACTGCCCACACAAACTCGTCTCTGGCCAGGGTCAGGAGGTTAGCGTTCGAGAGTTCCTCGTCGCTCATTGGCGCCGGCTTCCTGGGTTGCACCTCCTTATCGGGAGGTGCATTAGAAGCCTCCCAGTCACTCAAGCCATCCACATCCTCGAAGGCAGTAGTCACATCTTCGAAAGTGATGTCCCCCGCTGGCGAAGATGCTTTCGCTGCACCAGCTTCCTGCTGGAAGTCCTCAAAGTCTTGGATGCCAGCAGACGGCGCCCTGCCCCTGACGTCCCAACTCCTCGAGCGGCCCCGACCTGTGGACGCACCTTAGTCCCCCACACAAAGCGACCCAGCCGCCTAACTCCCAGAACAGAATTAGCTGAGCGCTACGGCCGCTACGAGTCCCCAAGCGAGAGGTGGAGGGCCACCAAAAAAAAAGAAGGAACTTTGGCACGCCAGGCTGGACAAAAATGCATCTCCAGACCGTGTTGTCTTTGCTCGCGGAATCGAGATTGAACTCTCGGTTGTTAAACAGATCCGATGGACTTACATGCATGCAAGTTGCGCACACTCACATGACCCGAAGTCACTAACACTAAGTCACTACACTAGCTCTAAATAGCAATAGTGTCAGTGTGCATCGGCAACTTCAGCATACCACCAGTGCTAAAACTAGCAGCGTCAAAGATAAGTGGCTATGGCTCTAGTATGCCACAACTAGCCAGAACAAGGTACTTCGCGAAGGTGCAAAAGCACTGCCATGAAGCTTTCCTGCCAAGTATGCAGTGTGTGGTCGCCGGCCGCCATGAGAACACAGCAGTGGCCATCTCCATGCAGGAAACTTCATTACTTCGCTGGTTCTTTCTGGAAGGCTGGGGTTTGGCCAGTCCTGCCGTTGCTGGCGACGTAGGAGTCTGTGCTGCTTACTGTGCCATACAATGCCATGTAGCGGCTGCACTTCTTCATCGATTGGGGTCGCTCTGCTCGTGAAGTGGGGCAGTGTGCTTCGACTTCTGTAGCAGTCGACGGTGACTTGCGCTCGTGCAGGCTGATGCAAATGCCGGCAAAAGGGCTTTACGGAGATACGAAAGACTGCGAGAGCACCAAAAATCGCCAGCCATGATTTGCCAGGCTACGCAGTTGCAGTCAGCCGCAACTGCCAAAAGTCAGCAGCAGATGTGGCCTGCATCCGTCCATGGACTGAACATGGCTACGAATCTGTAAAGCAGATAACATCGGCACGAGTACTGAAAAGCAACATGCGCTTCCTGGACTGTAGCATGTCGTAAATAAACGACATGGCGCCAGAGTCGAATCGCCCAGCCTTTGGATTCACGACATCTCGTAAATCAAGAGGGCATTGCGAGAGTAACGCCTGGGCGAAAGAACCCAGCAAGTGCTGTTTTTGATCTGTGCACACCGGCGCAGCATGTCTTTTCATGTCGAAGCTTTCGCACGGGGAGGTCGCACTCGTCTCTACGTCCATCCGTCATGCCGGGCATTGCATTCTGCTGGGAGAGCAGTCACAAGTCCGCCTCAAACAATCAAGTGTTCAGGAATTCAGAAAGGCACAACTGATCCTAGTCCTAGGATTTGTGCAGCCCGGGCTCCACAGATTCTGGCAATGGCAAGCAAACGGGTAGCCGTAGCTGTTCCACTTTTCATAGATATGTATGCCATTCGACACTGTGCCTGCGCATCAAGAATCAAGAAGCTCCCATTGCTGAATGGCAAGTGGAGGGACGCGAGCTGGATTAAAGGTCCGGCTACTGCTGTTGACATGTTGCTGCTTACGTCACAGCTCCTCCCGAAGCAACCTCTCTTGTGGGCATAGATCCCTGCCATGCGAGAGGGGAAAGACTTTGCCTGCGCACCAGCGGGATAGATGGGATAGAGAGTCGCGTAAACACGAGCAAGAGTCAGCAGTCACTTCTGGAAGCCTTCTTGGTGGAGAGGGGGGGAGGGGTGCATCGTCTGCCATTCATCCATCGCCGGTCGTGGTCGAGGGTTGTGCTTCATTGCTTACTTGCGTGTACGACATGACAACTCGTGTCTGTTCTGTTTATTCGTTAGATAGGCATGGCAGTTTGCACGAGGTGGTGAAGACCCTCTACTTCAGAAAGCAACATATGCCATGCCTTGCGCCTTCATACCTGAGTCGATGGACTCTGTAGCTTGCCGAAAAGAAGGTTCGCATATCCGGTAAGCAAAACTTGTCCTCCCAGTCCCTGGTGTCGCTTTGGAATACCAGACACCCTTGCCCTGTACAAACGGAGTCGCGTCTATGTGCTTCAGCATGCGCCTTGCGAGCTTTGTGCATGGCTGGAGACAGATGAAGTTCGGAAGAAAGACACGACTCCGATTCGCTCCAAGTCGAACGACGCTCAAATATGATCAGGGACACGCAGAGATTGTCACATGCAGATTTTCTGGTAAGGTTCCTTCTTTCAACTTGCGAATCGATGCCGAAATTTGATTTGTTGACAACCCAGTCTGTGCGTTGTTACAAAACTTGTCGAAGGACATCGTGCACATGTTTCCATTCCTCGATATTTCAGGTTTAGGTTTGTTCTTTTTTCCCAATACCCTCCCGCCCATGGTCTTCTCTGTTGGAAGGTTACAGAGGATGGTTTTGCACTTGTTGCGCCACCCGTTTCTCTCTGCCTTCAAGGATCACCTCTACAGTGTAGTTCGGTTTGGCATGTGCCTCTTGGATATCAGAAATACCGGTGGAGTGATTCCACCTGCAGTTGTTCTTGATAGAGGCACTTGACCAGGACATGCACAGCAGAACAATAGGTGCAGACAGATCTTGGGTGGCAGTGGAGCTCAGATGTGGTTCAAAGCAGTTTGTGGCAGAGCTGCTTGACTATGCTCCTATAATCTCCTATAACCAAGGCCAAGAACGGACCCCGCCGTACAGAAGCATGACGACGGAAATGGCAACTTCGACCGCAATGGCCACCATTTCCAGCCGGCTTGGAGTGAAGTCCTGAATTGCCGGTAGAGCTGGGAGAAGAATGACTCTGAGGCAGCTTTGTTTGTGCATTGTGCAGGCCCATCACAACGACAGAGATGCTACCGTATACAGGTGCTACTCTGGCACGGCCGGTCCTTGACTCGCACCAGGAGTAAGTAGAGAAACATCGGCGTCATGAAAGCAATGGTTGGAGTGAAGGTGCTGCCAAGTACGTTCACGAGGTCTGAAAAGAACGGGACGATCTGGGCCAGGAGCCACGACGAGGCAAGGACGGCCAAAACCTCGTCGTGATGAAAGGTCTGCCTTATGGAACCTTCCAACCTTGGCCTTGACCTGCCTCCGCACACGCTGCCAGTCATTCCAAGCCAGGCAGCCATGTAGTGCCATGCCGACCAGGTGTGGCTGGATGTGATCATATCACGGCGATGGAACTCTTTGAGAAGACCCCGGCAGAGCACGACGCTTTTGATGACCTGGCAAGGGGTTTTCCTCCAGCAGCACCCAGAACAACAAGAAACTGAAGTTTGTACAAGCCCGGCATAGGTGATCAGCATGTGCCCGATGAGGCATATGGCAGCATATCGCTCGGAATTGCCAAAGGGGATCTCGTCAACCATCATCCCTGAAGCAGCATCGCCTGTGGTGAAGCACGTTGTCGCTAGCATGCACCACATGCTGTGCACCATGGAGTGCCACTTTGGTCGCAAAATCCAGCCCCAGGACTCGGGCCTAAGGTGTCCTACGACGTCCTATCTTCTGCCCCGGGGTTTTCTGGGTTTGCAGCTGCCTCGAAAGTAATAGACGGAAAGCCCAACGCCAATGAAAGCTGCAGCTTGGAAGGGCAGTGAATAAGCGAAGTAGGCCTGCGAAGCAGACAGAGGTAACATTCATCTTACAAGTACTATGCAACCTAATGCGCACGGCTCTGGCTGGCTGCATCAGGAAGTGTGTGGGCGCACAAGTAGCACTCATCTTTTGAAATTGGAATGAGCTCTGCAAGCCTTTGGAAACTCGTTCATGTCCTCCATCTCTGTCATGATTTCAACCAAAATGAACCTCCGTGCCGCACCGGTCTGAAGGGAATTTGGAAACAGTTCATGGAAACCGTTGCGTATCAGTGATCTTGAAACGATATGGGGAGGAGGGTGGGGTGAGGGGGTCTTCTCACATCGTCGGCGGGTGGCGCGACAAACACTTGATTCCTGGCCTAGCGACGGTCACAGAATGACGAACCCTTCTGTCTTCTATGCTTCAGGCGCTGAACTCGGCCGGGATACTGCCCAGAGAAAGCGAAGGCGAACGTGCATGCCTCAGCCGAGATATCATTGACGTCCCGAACCATGGAAACCAGAAACCGGAAGCTCTCGCGAAAGCTGGTGTTGCGAAGTGCAAGGCTTGCGGCCAGGGGGAAGGCTTTACCCCAACCCCCAAAGTTGGCACGACTGCACTGGTTTCATGGTTTGTGGAGCAGCATCAGCTCAGCACAGCACATCTGCAGCTCAGATGCTGAAGTGACGAGGGAATCGAAGCTCAAATGGCTCCTCAGGCCCAGGCTCACACAAGACGGATGCGGCCAAACATGCCTCACATGAACGTGTAAAAAACACGTCACAGACCCACCTTACACTCACGGTTTCTCTGCTCGTGTTGGGTGTGCGCTCGGACATGCCAGGCGAGGTCAGGGTTTGTACAGCTTACACCCCAGACCGCAAATCCAAATCCAAATCTCTTCGGCCGAAGACACGCCACAGCCCTATACTCGCTGCCCGCGGGGCGCGTCTCGGCCGTGCCTCAGTGAAATGAGTTGAGATTTAACAAGTCAAGCGTTAAAAGGTCTTTAAACAGCCGGCAGGGCCTGCTCCTCTGAGGGATGTATATCTATGACAGTTGCAAAGCGGGCACATCATGTGTCGTAACTGCTATCTGCGCAGCACGTGCGAATACCCTGGTCACACGTGGCCTCGCTTCCCTCAAGTTCTGTGCCGGCAGTTGAACGCTCCAGCTCGTGAAGCGTACGGCGGCCTGAAACTGCTTTTCACCAAGCTGCCTTGTGCAGCCAACCAAGCGATAGGAATTAAAACTGTGCCGGCCTGGGCCGCAGGTAGCTTGTGTCAGGCATGTGTGAACGAAGACGAGGCGCTCTGAAGACTGCCCACAAGTATAAGACCACGGGTAAGTTTAGCCCGTGCTGCCAGGCCGCGGTGCAGGCACAGTTGAAAGCAACAGATCCGGCGAAGGATCCCAGAAATCGAGCTGACAAATTCCTTGGTAGGGCATGCGGTATGCGCTTCTGCCTTCCAGACTTTGTTGCTGTTCAAACCTCCCAAATCGAACTAATCGGCCAGCTTGCCTTCAGAGGCTTCGGGACTGGCGACTGAGTCTGTTTGGAAAACCCTGCGGCCGAGTGTCTCTTCCGAACTGCCATGCAGACGTTTCGACACTATAAGGTATGTGCAGCCAAGCAGCAGCGGCAAGAGCATCAGGCAACCAACCATAGTCATGACCGGCAGGCATACAGGGAAATCATAGAAAAACCTCACTGCGGCAGCTCTTCAAGCATAAACTCTAGCAACACTCTTTCGCTCTGTCTTTGCCCGGCTGTCTGAGCTTAGCTCGTGTCTTGTTGTTATGTTGTCAATACGCCTCATCTGCAGTGGCAAAATGAAGCGTGCACGATGCCGAAGGATGCTAACTCATTCCCGGTGACAGTGAGACGTCACCGCATCACCAAGTCAATCAGCTCTCATCGGGCGTCTTTGTTTCATTTCCCGGCTATCTATGCGCCGGACTCGTGTCGACATGAGCCGTCGAGCACACGCTGACTGGCAGTTGTGAACGGCCAATCCAATCGGAAACAGCAAGGACTCCCTAACGCACACGGCGACACACACTCACTCGTGCAATCCTCCCTCAGGACTGATTTAGCATACATGATAGCAGTCTTTCCAACACAGAGGAGTAGGACCTGAAGAGGATTGTGGCTTAGCCTCTTGCCATCAATCTAAACACTGATGTTCACTGTGGGGTTTGTGGCTTAGCCCCATTGCCATTCCCTTGCACTATCACTTGCACATACACTTGCGAACACACTGCAGGTACGTGAGGTTGATCAGACCTCATATCCTGGCAACTTGACTGGAGCTTCGTTGCACCAGGCCAGTCAAGAGCCCCTGGTGCCCCTGCAATATTACAAGCAGTACAGACCTTAGCAAACAGGTTTTCCACACACACACACACACAGAGACACGCACGCTGTTGCTCGTGCGCCTGCAAACACGCATGCACTCCTACAAGTACAGGAACTCACTTCCCGACAACGCTCGGTATACCACCAGCATCCTGTGTGACCGCCAAAGCACAGACATGCGGAAAGGCGATCTTGTGTGTATTTACCT